CATTTCGTGGAGCTAGTTGAATGGATGGGATCAGCAACTCGGCTCCCCCAAAAACTGAAGTATGCTAGTCCAATATGCTATTGCTGTCATGGAGACGCCTAAATTTGGCGTCCACACAGTGGAATGACATGCTCACAATCAAGTGTGTCAACCATTTTTATGCATTCACAGACTAGAAATGCTTTCATAGTAATTTGTGTAGAGGAATAGTGCAGTAAAGTCGTGAATATTGGGTAGGGAACAATTAGTTGGAAGGAATTCGTGATGTGGTCCAACCGGAAACCAAAGAGGATCTCCACGTATGTAAGAAAAGTTGGATTTCGAGGAGTCTTTTGTTTCATAATTGTTGAGCTTACTTCCATTTCGAGTGGAAGTGTTGAGTGAAGAGATTCGTGGTTCGGTTCCACCAAAAGACGACGGCAGATTCCTCTTGACCAGCTGTCGATTGGCTTTACTGGAACATTCATGCTGACGCTGTTGCCGAGGCAATCTCACTCGATTCCGGCGAAAAGGTGCTAAGCTTTCGTCCGTCTCATGACGGACATCATCAAAGCGAGGCAACATCATCACAACAAAATTCAAGCTAACGAGTCAAGAAAACTCACTTGCACCCTCTCTCTCTCCTTTAATCTATCAATCAAGCAAGGGGTTTTCTTGACTCGTTAGCTGGAATTTTGTTGAGACGATGATACCTTGCTCTGATGATGTTCGTCATATGACAGACGAAAGCTTAGCACCTTTTCACCGGAATCGAGTGCGATTGCCTCGGCAACAGCGTCAGCATGAATCTTCCAGTAAAGCTAATCGACAGCTGGTCAAGAGGAATCCGCCGTCGTCTTCTGGTGGAACCGACCTTGGAATCTTTTCACTCAACACTTCCACTCGAAATTAAAGTAATCTTAACAATAATGCAATCTAGGCTAAATAGAAATTTTACTTAGAAGTGGATGTGAAACTTAAATGATGTAGCATACGAAACAGATTCCTACACCCACAAGTAAACCAAGGAAGATCCTAAATTTGATCAAGT